GGGGCGTGGCTATAAACCCTGTGGCACAGCCTAAGATTTTATCTTTAATGACCTTTTTTATAGTGTTCATTTCTTTTACTTTTATACTTTAAGTAGTTTTAAAACCAGTACTTTTATACTTTTACTTGAGTAAAAAGCTCGAGGTCATACTTCTACTTCCAAAAAAGTATTTTTAAACCCTAGTATCTATACTTCTACTTAAGTAATGAATGTGAATACTTTTGACACCTCTGCCCAAATGTGAGCCTACATGGCAGAGGCCCACTTCTGAGCTGCAATCTACGTCAGAATCACACCCAGTTTGCAATGTATCTCCCCTAGCAACTGAGTCTGTGTGCTCCCAGCCTGGCAGAAACCTTTCAGTGTGTCCAAGAGCTTTTCAACGGCCCAGACCGCTGTTAGGGTCACTTTCACTTTTTGATATATCAGGAATCCATCTCCGCCAATCAGCAGAAATCCAGTTATCATAAATCCAAATACTGTATATACAAATCTTCCACATCCTCAGTGGAAAGTGGTGTGAGACACATCAGGTTCCAGGTCCCACAAGAACCACTGATCCACCCCCAACCATTCCCCTTGGACAGCTACATTSCCCTCATTCCACTGTGGAAAAAATTAGGGTCAATTGTGTTCAGAGACCAGTTAACCAAATCCATAATTCCTTTTGTTTCAGGTGGTAGGTGAAATAAGGCTTGAAAGAGCAGCAAAGCAGGGGGTGTGTGTGTGTGTGTGTGTGTGTGGGGTGGGGGGGTTCTGGAGAGAGCAAAGAGCACGTCTGTCTCCTCTGAAGGCTGAAGTGAAAAAAAATTGATTACAATTTTGTAGTTGCATAACAGTTGTACTTGTTACAGGTACCAGTTAATCGCAGACCTGCACAGGATCAAACAGGCATAGAAAATGATTGGTCGGATATAGTCTATGTATTAGTTTGTAGTACATTTTGTTTATGCTGACAACTGTTTTATGATCTCTCTTCTTTACCAACCTGGTTTGGTTGATGACACAACACAGCTGTGCTACTGCAGAAAAACAACTCCCAAAAAATGGGAAGAAAAAAAAAGTCTAATACCCATAACAACCTGATGTACACTATCTATTAGTGTCTGACTATTAGGCTACGTTCACACTGCAGGCAAAAAAGTGTAAATATATACCATTCTGACATCCTATTGGATTGAACTCACTCCATCACACCTGTGTAGTAGTTTCCCTGCACTGCTACATCTTGAATTTCTCCCATAGACAAGGATTTCTTTGGGAGAATATTCATCCAGGCCAATCAGAGAACAGAACGTCGATTTTCTGCGCAGTGTCTGTGTGTAGTTTATTTTACCTGGGCCAATCAGCAAACAGAAGGGGAAGTTTTGAATGATGTCGATTTTCTGCGCAGTGTCTGCTAGTTATTTTATCAATTGCAGTGGAGGGAGTGAAGCTAGTCAATGTTGATAAGGCTTCCAAATTAAATTAAATTTGTCTGACAAAGCAGCAGCTCTCATTTAGTCATCTCGTTCAGCTCAGTACATTTCTCCTCTCAGTAGGGTTTTTTTTACAGCACACACAATTTCTTGTTAGCTTCTTAGCCTAGCCTATTCACAGCAACATACGTCGTGGCCAACCGATCCAATCATTTTAAACTTCAGCAGAGGCCACGCCTCCAGCAAGAATCACTTCTCTATAGCCGCGAGACCAGACCCTCATACAAAACAAAGTGAAGGACAAGGATCTGATTTTTACCAGGCTGTCTAGTCAGTTAATTCCAAAATTTTCAACATATTAATTTAACATTATAC